TTTGCACATTGTTTGTTTTATCTGAAAATGATTAGTCTTGCAAAGTCTAGACAAAACAATTGGTAATACTTTTTCAGATGTTTTTTTTCAGACCCTGTAGTGATTTGGCACTTGATTTTGTTAATAAAGGGGGTATTTACAGGGTGGTATGGATCTGTAGTAAAGTATTCCAGATCTTTTATTAGGAAACACTAAGTTTTAAAGTATTGCTTTTATATGATGATCAGCAAATAGGAGCCTCCATACTTCTGTGCCTAAAGCCACCTTACTGCTTTATTTCAGGATAACATGCCGATTTTGTGTTCACTAACCATAGCACCGCTATCAGTTAAACACTGCTGGAAAGTATTCACTCTACAAATAGGAAATAGGCTTCCAAAGATAGCTACAAGTGTGTTAACAGTTGGATATCATGTATTTCCCAAATAAATGAAGTTACAGAATGCTGCCTAGTACTCATGCTGATATAAAGCGTTTAACAGGGTATCTTGTCACTTTGAGAATGTTGTATGCTTCTCAGTAGCAGTCTCATGGTGATCTTTTTCCACACTTTGCTTTGAAGGCAGCCAGAGATTCCTAATATTCTAACAAAGGTTTGTTTTCAGATGGGACGTCTTGTTGTGTGGTTTTGTTGTTGGTTGTTGTTATTAAGCTACTGCTTAAGGGGATATTAATAATGTGCATTTACTGACGTGCTTGCTTTAACTTCTTCCTTTTGTTGAAGGTCAGGAAATTCAAATGAGAAGGGAAGCCTATTTCCCTCTCACTTAAACAAGAGGAAGAAATAATTTTATCAATGACTTGATAAGGGCTGACCAGATGCATACAGCTGTTCCAGAAAAGTAGAGTGGGTTTACACCAGGAACTGCAACTAATGAAATGCGTTCTCTGATAACCTGTTGTGTTTGAAAATCTCATTAACCCAGTTCACTTAAATCTTTTGTTGATGCACTTAGCTAAAGAGTAATTGAATAATTAAAATAAAAATCACTGTCATTGAATGTAAGTAATTTTGCACCAGTGATACGGTTTAATTTTTGCTTCAGCTCCTGAAAAAAAGTAGGAAACACTAGTCTTACTAGGCTTCTTAGCCTACGTAAAACTGGTAGTTCATGTGTGTAGGATTTGAGTTTCTCAGAAAAATTACATGCTACTGACTGTAAATCTGGCTTCACGCAAATAATCTGATCCCAAAATGAGCCCTGGACATAAATCCGTTGTAATTCTGAATCATAATTCAGAATTGCTCCTGACTAGTATTTCACAGGGCAGAAGACTCTGTAATTACCAGCTGGTTGCAGACTGGTGTAATAGGATTTGGGGTTTTTTCCCTAGTCAGCTGTAATGCTTTGGGTGACTTGCAGGGTATTTCCTCACATATGACAAGTACACTGACTTGTACTTAGCTGCAGACAAAATTCAGACAGCTGAAGCAGTTTTGGATCATGGCAAGTTTTGGGTCAAGTACCAAGTAAAAGAAAAACCTGGTGTGTGTAAGACTGCTTTTTATTTTATTAAGTGATTACGTACAAGGAGTTGTGAAGTGTTCAGTGCTTTGAAAGATTAAGTTGTAGTTTGGCATGAGTTAAAAGCAGAAGAGTTGATGTGCTGTCATTCTAATAGACGCTTTGAATAAAAAGTTTAATTTTCAGGTTCGGTGTGTGCCGTTTGGTAACCGTTAAGTATCCAACCTTCTCCTTGCTTCTGTAATCCTGACAGCCCGATTTTGTTGCAGAGGGTGAAGGTATTTCTTTCCCCTGTCGGTCCACGTTTGGCCCGAGCTAAACCACCCAAGGTGAATTCCACGGAGAGTTTTTTACAGTTAGACAGAGCCGTGGGAGTGCTGATGGTGCAGAGCCAGGGCTGGCTGTCCCCTGACCTTGTCCCTGACCCTGTCCCTATACCTGCCGCCTGTCCCTGACCCTGTCCCTGTCCCCGTCCCTGCCGCCGTGCCCGCGGGGCTCGGACCTGTTCCCACCGGGATGGTCCAACACCGGCCGGGGCTCGGGGACGGGCCCGGGGTTGGCGATGATCCTCGGGAGCTGCTGAGGCGGCGGCGCGGGGGGCTGGCCCTTCACCCCCAGCCCTCCTGCTCCAAAACAATTGGTAATACTTTTCCAGATGTTTTTTTCAGACCCTGTAGTGATTTGGCACTTGATTTTGTTAATAAAGGGGGTATTTACAGGGTGGTATGGATCTGTAGTAAAGTATTCCAGATCTTTTATTAGGAAACACTCAAGTGTTAAAGTATTGCTTTTATATGATGATCAGCAACAGGAGCCTCCATACTTCTGTGCCTAAAGCCACCTTACTGCTTTATTTCAGGATAACATGCGATTTTGTGTTCACTAACCATAGCAGCTATCAGTTAAACACTGCTGGAAAGTATTCACTCTACAAATAGGAAATAGGCTTCCAAAGATAGCTACAGTGTGTTAACAGTTGGATATCATGTATTTCCCAAATAAATGAGGTTACAGAATGCTGCCTAGTACTCATGCTGATATAAAGCGTTGCAACAGGGTATCTTGTCACTTTGAGAATGTTGTATGCTTCTCAGTAGCAGTCTCATGGTGATCTTTTCCACACTTTGCTTTGAAGGCAGCCAGAGATTCCTAATATTCTAACAAAGGTTTGTTTTCAGATGGGACGTCTTGTTGTGTGGTTTTGTTGTTGGTTGTTGTTATTAAGCTACTGCTTGAGGATATTAATAATGTGCATTTACTGACGTGCTTGCTTTAACTTCTTCCTTTTGTTGAAGGTCAGAAATTCAAATGAGAAGGGAAGCCCTATTTCCTCTACTTCAAACAAGAGGAAGAAATAATTTTATCAATGACTTGATAAGGGCTGACCAGATGCATACAGCTGTTCCAGAAAAGTAGAGTGGGTTTACACCAGGAACTGCAACTAATGAAATGCGTTCTCTGATAACCTGTTGTGTTTGAAAATCTCATTAACCCAGTTCACTTAAATCTTTGTTGATGCACTTAGCTAAAGAGTAATTGAATAATTAAAATAAAAATCACTGTCATTGGAATAAGTACTCTTTGCACCAGTGATACTGAGCTTAATTTTTGCTTCAGCTCCTGAAAAAGTAGGAAACACTAGTCTTACTAGGCTTCTTAGCCTACGTAAAACTGGTAGTTCATGTGTGTAGGATTTGAGTTTCTCAGAAAAAAATTACATGCTACTGACTGTAAATCCTGGCTTCACGCAAATAATCTGATCTCAAAATGAGCCCTGACATAAATCCGTTGTAATTCTGAATCATAATTCAGAATTGCTCCTGACTAGTATGTTCACAGGGGCAGAAGACTCTGTATTACCAGCTGGTTGCAGACTGGTGTAATAGGATTTGGGGTTTTTTCCCTAGTCAGCTGTAATGCTTTGGGTGACTTGCAGGGTATTTCTCACATATGACAAGTACACTGACTTGTACTTAGCTGCAGACAAAATTCAGACAGCTGAAGCAGTTTTGGATCATGGCAAGTTTTGGGTCAAGTACCAAGTAAAAAGAAAACCTGGTGTGTGGAAGACTGCTTTTTTATTTTATTAAGTGATTGACGCATACAAGGAGTTGTGAAGTGTCTCCAGTGCTTTGAAAGATTAAGTTGTAGTTTGGCATGAGTTAAAAGCAGAAGAGTTGATGTGCTGTCATTCTAATAGGCACTTTGAATAAAAAGTTTAATTTTCAGGTTGGTGTGTGCCGTTTGGTAACCGTTAAGTATCCAACCTTCTCCTTGCTTCTGTAATCTGACAGCCCGATTTTGTTGCAGAGGGTGAAGGTATTTCTTTCCCTGTCGGTCCACGTTTGGCCCGAGCTAAACCACCAAGGTGAATTCCACGGAGAGTTTTTGCAGTTAGACAGAGCCGTGGGAGTGCTGATGGTGCAGAGCCAGGGCTGGCTGTCCCCTGACCTTGTCCTGACCCTGTCCTATACCTGCCGCCTGTCCCTGACCCTGTCCCTGTCCCCGTCCCTGCCGCCGTGCCCGCGGGGCTCGGACCTGTTCCCACCGGGATGGTCCAACACCGGCCGGGGCTCGGGGACGGGCCCGGGGTTGGCGATGATCCTCGGGAGCTGCTGAGGCGGCGGCGCGGGGGGCTGGCCCTTCACCCCCAGCCCTCCTGCTCGCCCAGCCAGGCCCTGCAGAGCCAGGTCCCCAAAGCCAGGCCCACGAGAACCAGGCTCCCTAAAGCCAGGCCCCCCAAAGCTGAGCTCCCCAAAGCCGGGCCCCCCAAAGCTGAGCTCCCTAAAGCCAGGCCCCCCAAAGCTAGGCTCCCCAAAGCCGGGCCCCCAAAGCTGAGCTCCCTAGAGCCCAGGCCCCCTAGCTGAGCCCCACAGTTGGGCCCCAAGGCCGGGCCCCCTGCAGAACCGAGCTGCCTAAAGCTGAGCCCCCAAAGCTGGAGCCCCCAAGGCCGGGTTCCCAAGCTGGAGCCCTCCCAGGCCAGGGCTCTCAGGCCGCGCTGGGGCCCGGCCGCAGCGCCCTCGGGCGGGGCCGGAGCCGCTCCCACACGGCCGGCAGGGCCGGCGCGCCTGGGCCCCGCTGCCGGCGCTCGGGGCCGGGCCGGGCGGAGGAGGAGCGGCAGCGGCAGCCGGAGCGGGGCCGGGCCGGGCGGAGGAGGAGCGGCAGCGGCAGCCGGAGCGGGGCAGTCTCTCGCCGCCATGAGCGCCGGGCAGGCCGCGGGGGAGGCGGCGGCCCCGGCGCTGCCCAGGGCGCTCTCGGCGCTGTTCTACGGGACGTGCTCGTTCCTCATCGTGCTGGTCAACAAGGCGCTGCTCAGCGCCTACAGGTGAGCCCGGGCGGTCCCTGCCCCGGGGCAGCGCTCCGCAGCCGGGCCGGGGTCCCCGCTGAGCACCCGCGGAAGGCCCGGCCCGACCCGGCCCGGCAGGCCCCGCTCCCCGCTGTGGCCCCGAGGGTCGCGGCGCCCCGGGCACCCTGCGGGGGACAGCGGGGACAGAGCCTACCCCGGCCCTGCTCCGAACGGACCTGCTGCGGGCCTCCTGCTCTGGAGCTACAGCCAGAAATGAAACGTGAACCTGGTACAATTGCTTAACCGTACATGCTGAGGGACTCTTTGACCTGGGGGGGCTGATTCCCGTGTGGAGTCGTTGTGATGATGGGCATCGTGTCCCGCTGTGCAAAGAGACTGCATTAACTGCAGACCTCTCACTCTTCCCATTCCCAGCTAGGGAAACAGAGGACCTTGAGTGTTCCTCTCCGATTCGTACTTGCCAATCTGGATTAATACTTGGACTTGGATGATTCTTGTGGGTCCCTTCCAACTCGGGGTATTCTGTGACTGCCCTGTGGCTGTGATTTTTCTCACCATTAATATATTTTACTTAAAATACTTGCTGTGGTTTAGCTCATTATGAACAAAATCAGAACAAGAGAACACAAAAGGAAAAAGAAAAGTTAAAAAGCCAACTGGCTGTTATTTTCTAATGTTCATCGCTATTGGAGCACACAGGAACTGTATATAACATCTCTCAGAAAGGATACACGGGGCAAGTTGAGATTTTGGGTTGTAGTGGCTTCTACCATACAAACTGGAGCTCCCTGTAAGTCCCTGGCATGTGTTTAGCACATCCGTGACAGAAAATCAAGGACAGTATGTCCATCTAAATTTTGTACAGAGAGCTTACAGCAATGCTGGGAATGTTTAGGGCTCTGCAATCCACAGATGTCTGGAGGAATCTGTGTAATACAGGTGAGTGAAGTCTCCATGTTTAGATGGACTGACTAAGGGCTACACAAAATACAGTTCAGGTGTCACATGATTGTAAAACGAAGTCTTGGTGTTTCTTCTGCCTTTTTTTTTGCATAATACCTCCATTTTCCTGAATCTCTTTCTACTTCTGGCTGCTCCTAACCCCTTCTCTGTGTCAGGACTCAGAACCATTTTTGTTTCTCTTGCCAATCCTTTGTTCCCACCCCAGTTTCTGGTGCATTTCCTGGTGGCTTCTGTGACAGTGGAAAGTTACAGAGCCTGTGGGGAATGTGTGTTCTCCTTAGGCATTCGTCAGTACAGATAGATGTGCACAGAGAATGAAATGGGGTTTATTTTGTGTGACTGTCCCTGACACTGCGCTCTAGGACAATGCCACATGGCTCTTGGAAGGCTGCAGGAGCTTTCACATCTGGGGAGCTCCTTCACCCACGACTTTTGGGCTGAGAGGCTCCAGACACTGCTGGTTATGGCATAAAGCAGCCATCCAACGCAAATAACTTCTTTGCTTGTATTTCAGTGTGCAGATGGAGAATGGCCACTTACTGCCATACTGGGATTAGTTTTAACTTGATGTCGATTTGGTGGGGGGAATGGAGGCCCTCGGGCTTTTCAGGTGTTCTGCTGAAGTTTCTGCCTTCCTAACTTTTGAGTATCTGAATCCAGGGATATCCAGGGACCTGTGGTGTGGATACTAATTAGTATTATTAATATAATTAATATTATTAATGTAATTAATATTATTAATATTACTAGTAATTAGTTCCCTAGAACTAAGAGTCTTGTGTTCAGGGAAGTGCAGGCTGGTCAGTCTCACCTCAGTGAGCAGATCCTCCTGGAAACCGTGCTAAGGGACATGGAAAATAAGGAGGTGACTGGTGGCAGCCAACGTGGCTGCACGAAGGGAAATCACGGCCTGACAAATTTGGTGGCCTTCTGCAACAGGATTACAGCAGTGGTGGAGGGGGCAAGGGCAACAGATGTTATGTACCTGGACTCGTGCAAAGCATTTGACCACATCACATCCTTGTCTCTTGGAGAGACAGGGATTTGATGGATGGACCACTGGGGGATAAGGAATTGGCTGGATGGTCACAGTCAAAGAGCTGCAGTCGACAGTTCGGTGTCCAAGTGGCGACCAGTGATGAGGGTTGTCCTCGGGGACAGGTGCTGGGACTGGCACCGTTTGACATCTTTGTTGGTGACGTGGAGGCAGGGATCAAGTGCACCCCCAGCAAATTTGTGTAGGAAAGGGATGACACCCAGAGGGACCTTGACAGGCTTGAGAGGTGGGCCTGTGTGATCCTCATGAAGTTCAGCCAGGACAAGTGCAAGGTCGTGCCCCTGGGTTGAGGCAATCCCAGGCACACGTTCAGACTGGGAGGAGAATGGATTCACACCAGCCCTGGGGAGAAAGACTTGGGGTTTGTGAATGAAAAGCTTAATATGAGCTGTCAGTGTGTGCTTGCAGCCCAGAAGGCCAGCCACATCCTGGGGTGCATCAAAAGGGGCATGAGCAGCAGGTCGAGGGAGGGGATTCTCCCCCTCTGCTCTGATGAGACCCCACCCAGAGGGCTGTGTCCAGGTCTTGGACCCCCAACCAAGAAAGACACTGACCTGTTGGAATGAGTCCCCAGGAGGGCCACTGAGCTTGTCACAGGGCTGGAGCACCTGTGCTGTGAAGGCAGGCTGAGGGAGTTGGGGTTCAGACTGGAGAAGATTCTGAAACCTTATTGTGACCTTCCAATACCTCAAGGAGGCTGCAAGAGAGCTGGAGAAGGACCTTTCACAAAGGCGTGTAGTGGCAGGAAAAAGGGGAATGGCCTTAAGCTGAAAGAGGGCAGGTTTATATTGAAAATAGGAAGAAAATCTTTACTGTGAGTTCTTTACTAGAACAGGTTGTCCAGAGAGGTTGTGGACTCCCCATCCCTGGAGCTGTTCAAGACCAGGCTGGATGAGTCTCTGGGCACCCTGGAGTAGTGGAAGGTGTCCCTGCTAATGGCAGGGAGTTGGAACGAGGTGATCTTTATGGCCCCTTCCAATCCAAGCTGTTTTATGGTTCTGTCCATGGTTTCAGCTAAAGCTAACTGAAGTGTTATGGTAGTTACAAACGTCCCCCAAACTATTAGCAGTTCAGAACTGACGACCTGTGCATTTCCAATATTATTTGGATTGTGTTTTGCTGCATAAATAAAATATTAGGACTCCAATAAGTGTAGTTGTGAGCTCTTCTGAAACGCAGGCCGCTCATTCTGTCAGTTGTTAACTTTGGTATTAAACTTTTTTTTTTTCTAATTATTTTTTTTCCCGTTTCTCAGTACTAAATATCTGTTAATGTTTTTCAGCTTCCCATCACCAGTGTTTCTTGGAATTGGACAGGTATGTTCACAAGTAAAGTATACTTTAAGTATTCATTATTTTGTAAGCTAAATTAGTGGTAATAGAGATAGATTTTAGAGGCCAAATTCCCAGTTATGCTGAACTGCTTGTCTTCTGGATTAGATAGACTATAAGGAACTGTAATTTGCTTTATGGAGAACAGGGAAGTTGTAAGTTCAAGTCAAAATTATTGCCTGAAAAGACTCACATAAAAGACTGGAAATGCCATTTATTTCCCCTTGCAAAGTTCAGTAATTAAGAGATCAGACCTTTAAAACTGTCAAGGTTTGTTCTAGAAAGTGCATATATCCTGTGAAAGCACTTGAGCATCTGTGGATTATGTGGGGAGATATTGCCCCTCTTGGTAGCAAAACCAGGTATTTCCTCATAAATACCTCCCCCATTTCCTAGCAGTTTTCCAACAGCACCAGCACGAAATTTTGATTCGCTGTTGTTTTACTTGCCTGTGGGCAAGTCTCAGAACTGCAGCAGAAATGTTTTTATTACTTTTGTTGTCGGTAGGCATCGTAATAAAACCAAAGTTCAAGCGTTTGCAGTCGTGGTCCGTAAAGAAGAATGTGTGACTGCAGAAGGATCACTTGGAAAGATGGAGCCCTGAAGCAAGTTGTTTTTGTTTAGGCAAATATATTTTAGAGAGGGTTTGCTTTCTGCCAAGGTTGCATGCCAGGGGGTGGTGAGGAGGAGGCTAAAACAGGGTACTACAAGCCTGACATCTCTGCTGTTTGGTGCTGGAGACAGTAAAATGTCTTGTAAAGTCTTTGTGAAGTGGGAGAGGGAGTTTTACACATCCAGACTGCTCAAGGAACCACAGATCATGTTTCAGTGGAAGACTAGAAAATGCAGCAATAATTCATGTGATGTTTGTTTCACTGCAGAACCTAAGACTTTATGGCATTTCCATTTTTTTTCTTGACTGATCCCTCCAAGATTTCCCTGAACACTTTGTATATAGTATATAGTCTGCAGAACATGACTCCACTGCATCCTCTAGATAGTCAACTAGTGTGCTTTTGTGTAAGGAAGATTTTACCTTTTTTTTGACTCCCTGGGGACAGCATTAACACTTGTGATGTCATGTGTGATTGCTAAGATGTTCTTCTTCATTCTGTCTGTATCTTTATTATTTCTTCCTGATATTATCTACAGACTGATCCATGCACTATCACTGTCTTGCACTACCAAAAAAAAAGCTTTAGGAGTGGTTTTGCAGACTAAACAATTGTTTGAGTAAAACTCTTATGGTTAATCTGGGATTGTACCCTATTTTATTTATTCAGCTCCCTCTCAGCATGCATTGTTTCACAGAGTGCCACTAACTTTCTTCAGACAGGAAAGTGCATGTGTATATTTTACTTTTAGATAAATAGCTGGCAAAAGTGATAAAAATAAAGTTATTTCAGTTTTTTAATTGCATGCTGTGTTGTTCTTTGAGAGAAATACGCAATAAGTAGCATTTGTTAGTTGCATGTAAAGATTTTGTCTTTGAAGCAGTTCTTTCATTCGTACTTTACAATTCTGCTCTTACACGACTTCTTGTTTTTTCTTTTTGTTTAGATGGCAGCCACTATACTTATCTTGTATGTGTCAAAACTAAATAATATTGTTCACTTCCCTGATTTTGACAAAAGTATACCTGTGAAGGTAAGAATTACATATGTCCTGATATTAATAGGAAGAAGTTATTTCTTATAGTGGCATTCTTTCTTAGGCAGACCCCAAAAAAATTACATTTCCTTGTCAAGTGGGATTATTTGTGTCTTTTTTTTCATTTAATATTGGATTTGATAATTTTAAATTCTTTGCAATATTCTTGAGTGCTTGGGCTGTAGAGATAAGCTCTGTTTGCAGAGGAATCTGGTGGCATTTTGTTATGGAGTAGATGGGAAAGGGTGCTGTACCTTTATACAGCTGGATGAACTCCCTCTTATTCCTGAAGTGTTTTTCTGCCTGTGTGCACCTCTCTGTGGGATCAGTGGGAGATAAGAGTTGGTGACAGACTTTTGAACTCAGCATGAAGGGAGAAGGGCTGCTTGGGAGTCTGAATGGAGCGTGTGATGAAACAGTGTGATAAAAAATGCCCACTGAAAATACTGTGGGTAGCAGCTAGCTGCACTGGACAGACCCTCAGTGTACATGATCTAAAGAAGCAGGACAGAGCAAATACGAGAGGCTCTCCTATCACCTCAGTTTGGGAACTAGGATGTGAAGTGACTGCAGCAGTGATCCTTGCAGATTTTTGCATCAGTATGCAATGTTGCTGGGGTTTTTCTCTGATGCATTAGCCCCTGTATTTAGGTCTTGTTGCATGGTGTAGGTTGGGGTTTGCTCAGAGGCACAGACATGGTTTCCAGCTCTGCTGCAGGGCTCAGATATTGTGTCTCTTCAGGCCAGCATCTTCATTGCAGAATCTTGTCTAATCAGTGTGAGGTTTTCTATGGACATTTTGCAGACTTGTTCATTCTCGATGCACGCTGAAATCACTGGCATTTCTGCATGTAAAAGTCTTGGAGGAAAATCTGTGGTGTCAATCATAAAATGGACAACCCTGCTTTATTCCAGAATAAGAAAGAAGGAGGTTTCCCAGTGGATAGCTTTGAGTTCTGCGTACAAACAACTTACTGAGACCTGGAGAAGTTTTTTCCCTCCACTTGCCCCAGTCCCACTGTGCTCCCTCTCTGCTGTTGTGCTCCCTCTCCACTTTACTGTCAGGACAAAGGCATTAACAGAGTACAGCACCCATTTTCTTTATCCTAATATCTGTCCTTTGGAAGACTTCCCTGGATAGACTGGGAGCAGTCAGCACTGTAGCTGTAGCAATATTGCATATTGCTTGTAGTGCTGGATCTGACTAGTCACAGTGAATCAGCAGGATTGCTCATTGCTTATTTCTTTACTTTTTAAAGAACCCTTAGGCCAGCTCTTCATCCTTCTGACAACTTCTGCTTTGACACTGAGATAATCATTACTTTTCACTCCTGAAATGGTTTATGCCCTCAGTGCTTTCAGCTACAGTTTTAGAGTAGTGAAGTGCTTACTTTAGCTATGAAGCTTTGGAGTTCTTGACCCTTTTTAAGTATATGATTTACTTATCTCTGGTGTTGTGCTGGATGTTGTCATTTTGTCTTTATAATGGATGAATTTCAGAGGACTGATAATATAATGTACACTCTGTTTTCAGCCTATAAATGAAATAAACCAAAATGTTCCAAAAAAAGTCTGCAGAAGAGCTAGTGCATTATAAAATTTTCGCAAACTTTTGTTGACAAGCTGAATATTTATTGTTACTTATGCTCCTGATGTCTTTATAGTCCTAACTTTTACTGCTACTTTCACTTAAAAGTTAACTTCAGTTAGCTACAGTTAACTTTTACTTCACATTTCTCCTGGCTGTAAAAGAAATGCAGAATTTTTAACGTAGATAAGATGCAGCCCCCACTTCTCTGTGTGCTTCTCCAGCAGACCGTGTTTTGTCTCCTGAAGCTCGTGTAGGAACAGCAGCAGTTATTAGGGTAGAGGTGTGTTTTGTCTCCCTGCCATTCCGGCTCCATGTGACTGACAGTGAGTGGGACTCCCTGTACACACTACCTTTGTACCCATTGATTGCTTCGGTTGGTTTTTATCTTCTGCAAATGCCAGCCTCACCCCTCCTCTGGTACTGCAATTTTCCTGTAAGCGGAAAATGAACAGCCTTGATTTGCAGCTGATTATTGCGTGGAGATCCCTGGCTTCTTGTACATTTTCTTAAGGCCTTGAAGTCCTGTTATTTTTTTTCTCTGTACTGTGTTACAGATCATATGTTTCTGTGCGAGTCAGTCTCTTTATGCTAGAAGCTGGGATGGGTAAAGTTTAATTTACCCCTAAATACTTATCTTTCCTCTCTGATATCTTGCATAGCATGGTTTGTTGGGTAGATCTGAAATGTTGTAACTTCCAGGCATACTGATATATGTGGAGTCTATAGAGAAGCCCAGCATACTTACAGTTTATAATTGTTTCATGCCACCTGTTCACTTGCCTATGTAGCTACTGTTATTAGTATTTATACCTAAAATTAAATGTTAGAATGGGTATTAATCTGGGGATTATAGTAATTAAAATAAAACTGATGAACATTTACTCTAAATGGAGTCTAAGTCTTATTACAGGTAGACTGCCATTCTTTTAATAAATCATTGGAGCTGTGGTTGTGAATGGTCACATAAATGTGAGCTGCAGATGAGTTTGCAGCATAGTCACCATTCTTTTCCCCTTAAAAAACCCCCTCTTTCTTGTTAAAAGTACATCTGATATATGGGTACCAAATACTATGACGTGAAGTTTCTCAGCAGGGCTTCAACACAAAATAATCTGAGTTGTGCTTTTAATTTTATCACAGTTGTTTCCTCTGCCTCTGATTTATGTTGGAAACCACATAAGTGGATTATCAAGTACCAGGAAACTCAGGTACAGTAAATGGAAGTTATAAGTAGACTGTTTGGATTTTACCCTTTTCTCTTGTGAGGTAAAAAATCAACACTAAAGAAGAGCACTGGGTAGGGCCTTAAATGCATGTGGTGCCTGTCTGTCTGTCTAAACCCCTTATGCTGTTAGGAAGTTCTTACCCAATCATTTGGCCTGTTTACAAGCTGTCTGCTTCTTTTAAAAGGAGCTTAGCCAGGCCTGTACTGCTATAAAATCACAGCTCTTCTGTGTGACCATGAAAGAGCTTCCACTTTCCCCTCACACCCGAGTGTCCAGCTTTTCATGGGCATCCTAACCAGAGAGTTGGAAAACTCTTAAGGTGTTTCTGAAGGAAGAAGCACAAGGTAAAGATTTGTAGGAATCACCAAGAGATGGAACAAGTAGTGGGTGGTGGGGTGGTCGTAGAGTCCTGCTGAGCCCGAAAGGAGGTTGTTGGGGGGCAGTGCTGAAGGGCACCCGGACTCCTGCGTGCCTGTAAGCATGGATTCTGAGAGTTGCTTCCATGCTGGTGCTAAAAAGGTGCAAGTCACGTAGACAGCATGCTATAATAGATTGAATGACCAGATCTCCTCTGGAAGAGGAATGCAGAAGCATGATGGCTGCATCAGGACCAGAGGATGCAGCACTGCCCTTGTGGTGGGTTTTTATGCGTTATTGCAGCCTCCTAGGGATTTGGTTGCAAGCTAAACCAAAACAGGGAATTTTGTAGGTTGATTGCATTTCCTAGCTTTGAGAGAGATGCTGGGAAAGAAAATAGAATTACAGAATCACGGAATTGTCAAGGCTGCAAGAGACCTTTAAGATCATGAAGTCCAACCATCGATCCAGCCCTACCACTGTAAGCCCTAAACCACTAAACCATATCACTCAGAGCCACATCCAGATGCCTCTTGAGCACCTCCAGGGTTGGTGACTCCATCACCTACCTCCCTGGGTGATCCATTTCAATGCCTGACCACCCTAACAGTAAAAAAATATGTTCTAATATCTAATCTGAATCTCCCCTGTCTCAGTTTCAGGACATTTCCACTTGTGCTCTCACTACAACCTCCTTTTAGGCAGTTGTAGACAGCAACAAGGTCCTCCATGTATTCCTTTTAACTTGTTTACATTTCTTTTTATTGTTTACATTTCTGTTTATTAATTCCCTATAATTAGGGAATTAATTTTCTCTAGCTAGGGACACTAGATGCCTGATTCTGTAGCTTGATGTTTTATGCATTCAGAAGTTGTTCCACTGAAGCGACTGCTCAGGGAGACATAAAGACTTAGGGAGCACTGTCACTAGTAGCACTTCAGCCATTGGGAATATGAAAGTAGTTTCAGTCCTGTAAAAGTTTGATTTGTGGGTTTTTCTTTCTCTTTTCCCCTGGCTGTAATTTTAAATGTTTGGTATGGTGTTCTAAACATAAGTGCACTATCTCCCTCTCCCATGGCTGATACACCTCTCTTAGATTTGCAATTCATAATTAATTTTTATAACAGAAGAGTAAAAATGGCTGCAGTGTTTCCACCATTAAGTTTTTGTTACAGCGCACTGTGTTACAATATGTGACATTTGTTTATGTTGTGGAATTCTCCAGCTTGTTTGGGTTGTCTGGAAGGTGTAGATGATCCAGTGCAGAACTGAAAAATATCTGTTGTAAACTGATTAAACTCTGTGTTAGGATTTGTGTCGTTTATTAATGCAGTTGGTATTAGCTATCCTAAGCAGAGGATTAATTGGTCCATATGGTCTTGCTGTCAGATTTCCAGAGCCAGATGCAAGTGTTTTCTCAATCACAAAGGTTTCCAACTGCATTGCTTCATGAAGGTCAACAATATGTTGCTCAAAAGTGACAGTTTGGTAGTTGCAGCTGGTCCCACCTTTTGTGTTTGTTGTACTTGCCCTGATTTTTTTTTGTCATGGATTTGTTTGACTTTTTTAAAAGGTACATCTTGTTTGCTAAGCATGTTTTCTTTGTATTTTATTTCTGCTACATGTTTTCAGAGACAGGTTTATTGCCTGTCCTCTAAGTTTATAACAGAAATAATTTTTACTTAACCCTGCCCATGCATTTTGCAGAAAAAAGTATTTCATGGGGTTATGCTAAGTAGAAAATATCTATTAAATTCCATTTCACTATGGGGTTATGCTGTTTAGTAGAAAATATCTATTAAATTCCATTTCACTGCTGCAGAGGGACCTTTAGAAGGTAGCCAGTTGCACTGGCTTACGCATTATCAAAGTTGTTACTTTTCAATGACTTGGTTATCTTATCTGTGTCTAAGGTCAGACTGATGCTAAGTGACTGGATATTTGGTTTGTTTCTTTACTACTGGACTAATGGTTCCATCCTCTGTTTATTAAAATAAGAATTAGAACATAAGAATGTTGTTAATCTGACATTATGCTTGGATTTTTATTTTGTTTTTTTTGACAGTTTGCCGATGTTTACAGTGCTCAGGAAGTTTACCATTCCACTTACTTTACTGCTGGAAATCATCATACTTGGGTGATCCTTTTTGTTTTGTTTTGTTTCGTTTTGTTTTCATTTAAGACACCTTTATTTTAGATCATATCAAATGGATTACTTCTGACAGCTCATCAGAATATTGAGTGAGTGATTTTTACTGATAGAGAAAAGGAAAGAAAGTGGGTCTATGTTACTTTTTTTGAAGACACAGATAGATAGATTTTAGTGAATGCAGAAAAAAAATAAGCTTACTTTCATTTGCACATCTTACTCTCTTGGCTGTTGCACAGGATTTAGGTAAGCAGACACAACTCAGACACTTTTGGGTTGTGTTTGTGCCCCGTCTGGATGGCCCCTAAGCTGCAGACTGCTTCAAACAGACAAGTCCTTGTGTCTCAAAACAGTGATGATAGTACAAACACATCTTATTTTGTCTAGAACTTCGTGGTTCTATCCAGTAGCTGATGGTGGGTTAAGATGAAGCCACAAGGGGAAAAACAACCTTCTGGAAGCTGAACCCAGGCACCAAGAGAGTGCATCAAGGGAAAAGGTTTCCAGAAAGCCCCCAAGTAGAGTGTCATCTCCATCTGGCTGAAGCAGCAGTTGATCAGTGTGATTCATATTCCTAAAGGACTCCAGAGAGTCTGTGCAGGTTTATGTCAGGCTTTGAAAAACAGTCAAGGAGTGGCTTGTTACTGTTGAGAGTCATTATGGTCAAAGAGTTAATTGTCTAGAGCCTGCATACAGCTTTATTGCTGGGACAGTGGTCCACACGTGGGCTCCTTGAACACACAAGATTTCTCCAAAAGCATTTTTCAAAGAACATTGTACATTTTGTTTTGGTGGATCTTCTCTCTCAGGTGAGCCTGACAGACTAAGGACTGGGGAGATGTCTGCAAGACATATTACATATGGTGCAGAAAATGAGTACTTAAGACATTTGCAAATAACGTAGATAGGAAAAAAACCCAGTTTTACTTTATGCTTTTCACTACTTTGTGGCAGTACTGTGGTAGTAAAGAATATCATAAGCTCTGTGCTTTCCCTTTCAAGTACAAAGTTTCAGTTTGACTTCCAAATAAGTATCTATTTCAAAACCAGTGCAGATAACGTGCTGTACAGCAACTTCCCCAGGAAAGGTGATATGAAAAACTACGTGAGAAACATGCAGTGATTTTCCTTTTTTGGATTGCTGCAAGACACTGAAATATGTCCAATATACATTAAATTAGTTTATTCCAGTGCTTTTACTTTAAACCTTTAATATTTACTTCTGTAATTATCTAGTAGCTCACAGTGCTTTTTCAATCTCTGTTCTCAGGGCCAAGGTCTGACAGCGTGGCACATGGTCAATCACGTTGCTTCTGTAAGGTTATCAAGACTTTGCCCTCCTGTTGAATGTTCTGTGATTACTAATTGCTTTGAAGCTTTTCAGGCAGACAACCATTTAATGTCCTCTTCAAATAATGCAGATGTGAACTGTCTGAATTTTTGCCTACAGGAAACGGTACCCACTGAGTATCATAGTCAGCGTATTTGCCATCATTCTTGGGGCTTTCATAGCAGCTGGGTAAGGCTTCGGTCTGTTTTATGAATCCATGTTATGAGGGGAGGAAAAACAGAAGGGATTTTTCCTTGCTTAGTTCCAAGTAAACCTAGGTTGAGATCAGTTACTCTGGAATAAATTGATTTGTAAAATCTCTCTGCTGACATCATTGGGAGGTGCAGGAGTACAAAGGGGAAATTTTGATTCCTGCTGAAAGTATTTGGGTGCTTCTTTTTTCACCTCTAGGTTTTCCATGTTTGCAGGATCATAAATGAAGCAGGTTAAAGCTGTGTGAGGAATGTTGCTTTTATTTCATGGTATCAGTGTATTTTAGTATTCTTAGAAAAAAATATGTTCCTGTCCTGGATAGAAAGACTTATTTTTTTTTGGTTGTCAGATATTGCCTATATTTTTAATCACTTTGAATAAGCTCAATTATGAGATTAAGTTCACAAAGCATTTATATGCTGTTGTCCTGTGTTTTCATTCTGTTTGAATATTCCTTTACCTACTTGGAAATGTCTTGGGTTTTTTTGTTTTTTCTTGGCTTTGCTGTGTACAAGGGTAAATAATTTCCATGTGATGTGACTCAGATAGAACCATGTGCTGTTAAGTGAGTTACCCTATATCCATGAGGTAACTAGTCAAAACAGAAAGGATGACAATATGTCTGACCTGACTGTAAAAAACAGTCAGACTTTATTCCATAGCTACTTTCTGTATTAAAAGAAATAGGTATACTCAGTATACTCATTAATAATTGGACGGGTTGTCAGGGTTGAGATGGGTGGAATTTTTCACTGAATTAAAATGGAACATTCCCTGTCACTTTCACACTGACTACTGGGAGTTCCCCAGTGACTCATTTGTGGTGATCCTGTGACTGGAGAAATGTAAAGTACTTTGACTTACAAAGAATGCTTGAAGCAAAACCTGTGACTCGCTGGAGTTCTCAGGATTTGCATATCCTCACTTACAGTGTCCCTCTGGGTAATCAAGGCTTATTTACAGTATGTTTGCTTATTTACAATATAGTATTTCTTTCCCAGGTCTGATCTGTCTTTCAATCTGGAGGGCTATATCTTTGTGTTGCTAAATGATATCTTCACAGCAGCAAATGGAGTTTACACAAAGCAGAAAATCGATCCAAAGGTAACTTTGGGGTGATTGGATTGAGTTTAACATTATGACAGTATGATAACAGTGGGTTACTTGTTACATAATTTTATGTACTTACAGTTATGAACTCATAAACAGTTTCATTTCACATCTCAGCTGATATATGAATCTTTAATACAGAACAGCCTGGGAAAATTTGTTATTTGAATCACTGTCCAGGCTTAGGTAAACAAACAGTATATTTTAGTTTCTCTCAAGTCTACTAGGCAGAGTTTGTAGTTACTTTAAAATCTTGCTTTAGGCTAAAAATAAAATTAATCCAAGCCATAAGCAAATCATTTACCTGTGAATTTGATATATATTTATATAAGGAAGATGATTTTTTGACTAGAAATGTACTTTAAGTGGCATTTATGTAAAACAAACAAAGACCTGAGTCAATAAACACAATAACTTATATTTTTTTGGTTATCTAAAAGCAAGTCTGCACCGAAGCCAGGTATGCCAAGGAATTAAGTGATACCCAGTGCTGTGAAACGTAACAAGCCATAGCAAAGAGCAGTCTGGGAGATGCTGGATAGAGGTTTTGTTTCTGACTCCTGTGGCTCAGTCCATACACTGCAAATATATACCTTCTAATAATCTCAGACAGCACACTGATTCCAGACTGCATTTTGGTTTATGAGCAGCACTCAGCAGCCTCAGTAGTTTCATTGTAAAGCAGGAGAGAGGCTGGAGAGATTTGCAGTGTAGCATGGCTGAATCTGGAGGAAGGGAAGGCTGCTTTGTCACTCTCCTAATCTCCTGCCTTTGTGCCAAGCAAGTTAACCAGCAGGATATATGGCATCCCTCAAGTTGCTTAAGGTCACAATTAGCAATGATTACAGAGCTCCATCTAGGAGTCGGACTTCATTCATCTTCCTGTCACGTGTTTTCATGGTTAATTTGCAATAGGTAGAATGAGGAATACCTTGGCCAGGCAGAGGCTTATGTGGAGTCCTAAACTAAGCAGTTCTGGACCAGTGCTTTGGGAAGTTTCTGACTGGCTGGCATTGTGTAGACACTGTCCAAGGTATAACAGAGCAGTAAAATCTGCTGAGTGTACAGACAAAGTGACTGAAGTGGAAATTAACTGCGAAATTAGTACAAAACAGTGAACCCAAGGATCACAAGGCTCTGTTTTAAACTAAAATCTATTATGTCCTGTCTGCTCATTGACAGTAATCTCAGGAAGATTGCCACAGTCATTGTAGTATTTTGCTCCCAAATGGCTTGTAGTTTCAAACACCATGTTTCATTTTTCACAGGAGCTGGGAAAATACGGTGTCCTGTTCTATAATGCTTGTTTCATGGTGGTTCCAACAGTTATTATTAGCTTTTCTACTGGAGACTTTCAGCAGGTGAGTAGCAGTATTGCATATCTCAGACTGATAACTTCATTTAGTTCAGGTTTTTTTCACTTGGGAAATGAGTGGGCTTTTTCTTTGTTTCTAAAGAGGTTTCTAACTACCTTTGTGTTATTGACTAGTATATGAAAAGTGTGACTTGGACTTGCCCTTCACAGTAAGAACTTGTGATTATTCACTTCAGAAGAAGGTGAATTTGTGTGGTGGTCCTCATGTGAGGCTTTGTTTAAGAACTAATGCATGGGAAAAATAAAGAGAGTGCTGTGGCCACTGGCTGATTTCGGGCAAGCAGCTTAATGCTCAGTTACCTGAAGAGAATAAATATATATCAGAGGGATCCAGTTTGCCTGTTGTGCATTGCCCTGGCTTGGTCACTCAAAAAAAAAAAAAAAAAACCCTGTAAAATGATGCAGGTAACCAGTGTCAGTGTGACACACCGAAATTTAATCACAGAAGAAAGGGAGAAAATGGAGGAATACTGATGAAAAGCGAGGAAATGATTGTAGATAACACAATTATTCTTCAGCTTTTCAGGCCAGCTTTTATCCTAGGAGAACTTACTGCCTTGCTCCATCACAGACAATGCACAGCACATGTCTTTTGCCAGTCAAAACATCAGTACCTTGCCTGTATGATAAGGACATTGCTTCTGCTCCTCTAGCTAGTTCTGGAATTACAGCTACCACGCCTCATGCAGACTGTAGTTTTTGAGTGTCCCAGGTATTCTCTTCTCTTTCACCAGCTGGCTCACTATGTGGACAGTTAAATGCATTGAACTGCTTCCAGCAGTAGTAATTCATAATTTTAGTATGAATTCGTAATTTTAGTATGAATTAAATGTATTTGTGATTTTGCACATTTTCATAGTAAGCATGTTTTATGTGTTTACAGCTGATTATATAGCATGTAATTCTCTCTCTTTTTTTTTTTTTTTTTTTTTTTAATAGGCAATACATTTCCAGCAGTGGACAAATTTCTTATTTCTTTTTCAATTTGTTCTTTCCTGCTTGTTGGGGTAAGGACACAGGCGAGTCAAGCAAGACGTTTTTATGACATTGTTTCCAATTGCAAATCTCAAATGTAGAGACTCACTAATAGGTTATGTTAGAGTTCAAAGAAAAGGGTTTCTTCCCCCCCAGGCTTCTGTTGTGTCTCTTAAGTGTTTCTAATGTTGTAAATAACTGTTTCAGTACTATCTGTGCTGTTGACCTCACAATACAGCGATTGTGCTGTATTTAGCACAATATGATATTTAGCTTTGTAATTTCTGTACTCTCTCCTCTATTTAGATGTTTTGCAGTTATCCCTCAGTATAGGAACTGTTTCAGTGTGTTTGTTCTGTGAAGTAGCTGGGGAAAATGTGGGAGACTCAAAAGCAGTGAGCCTGTTCCCGTTGGAACTGCAGGGTCGAAGGAAAAATAGAACAACAAGCTGCATCGTGTTTTCTCTTCCACGTGTCAGCAACCAAGGGGTCAAACTAATTTCAAGTACTGACATTTAAAAAGCACAGAGAAGAGGGGTGGCTCTGCTAGAGCTCAGGCAGCACATTTTAACATGTATTTTGAATATTCTGGATACCTTATGTCATTAACTTAAAATACAGATCCACAGACTGGGTGGGTTTTAGGGTTTGAAACAGGTGGGATTGAAGATCCCAGAAAAATACTGATCCAGAAAATGTTGAACATCTCAAAGTGTTGCTAAACTTCTGAGCTCCGTGGGAAGAACTTATAAAATTTTCTCTGTTATTTAGGTTTCTCTTGATGTATTCTACTGTCCTATGCAGTCATTACAATTCTGCACTCACAACGACAGTAGTTGGTGCCATCAAGGTGAGTTATGGAGCAGAGGAGGGGAGCAAGAATGCCCAAATAGACAGGGAGGAGCATTGGCTCAGCAGTGATCCTAATTAGACTCTGAGATGGAAAGATCAAAACAAGAGCTAATAGTGAGACACTGCTTGTGCCAAACAGGGTCACACCACAGAGTGGCCTTGTTCTCTTCCACTGAAGCTGACTCCAAAGTATGCTTTAGAAAGCAGTTTATATTTTGTTTTCCTACAAGAATAACTCAAACCACTTTAATTAAAAAATGTATATTTAACAACAGTTCTTCAGGTACTGCCTGCTTCTGTTCTTTATTAGGTTACTGTGTGTTAGTCAGGGTGGCCTGCTGCAAATGCAGGTGAACTGACACAGACCAAGCTGAAGTAAGGAGCATATTCCTTTTTGGTTAACTGCCTCAGCCTCTGTGTGAGCATTTTTGTTCTTGCTGAATGGACTGTTTCATTCTGGTTTATACAAATTCAGGTCAACTTGATCAACATCAAAACATGAATGTCTTAAAAAATTGGTTTCTTGAAAACTCTGTGTCGTTACGGTCGGTTTTCTTTGACACAGTTTAATTTAAAACCAGTGCAGCTTCCTTTGTGTTGATGAGCCCAACATGTCTGAACTGGGAACACCTCTGATTGCCCAGGCACCTTCCTGAAGGCCATTTTGGGGAGAAGCACAGAGCTGTAAAGCTGGAACAGCTTTAGCAAAAGATAAAGCTTATGCAATTATGGGCCAAACACTCTCAGAATCCAAACTAGCTGAGGCATAGGAATAACAGTCCTCATGGTCCTCCCTTGCAGGGGTGACTAAGGAAAACAATACCTCCAGCACAGCAAAATCTGCAGGAGGAGGATGGTACTGCACTTTCTACAGGGGGTGGGTGACAGTTAGAATTTTAACTTTAAACTGTGCCTGTCTGGAACTGGTGCCCAGTGCTTTCAGGGCACATTTGGTTAACAAAGTAAGCAGATGACCCTTTCAAAGTAATAATAAAGGAATCTTATCGTAACTTTGAAGTGTCCTTTTTATGCTTGAGAACCCAAAACTCACTTTTAAGAAATGGGATTTGAAAGGAGCCTCCCAAAGATTATAAAGAAGCATATTTCAAAAGGTGGACATAGCTCCATTTTGCCTAATATCAAATAGCTGACTTTTTTTGGTTTTTAACCCAGAAAGTCCCTCTCAATGCATTTAGAAAGCATGGTGGTTTTATTATTCTGTTTCATTGCTACATTATCCACAAGGCTGAAATCACATGAAAGGAATTTAAGTGCTGATTTTGGGGTGGTCAGTAACAGAATGTATCTATTTTCCTAGAAAAGAAATTAAGTTGATATCACTTAATATTCATGGAGATGAAACCTGAATTAAATAAATACATTATTTTTTTTTTCCTTTCAGAATATATCCATTGCTTACATCGGAATGTTGATTGGTGGAGATTACATATTCTCTATGTTAAACTTCATAGGCCTAAATATTTGGTGAGTGAAACTCCAATAGCCTTTATTTGTTAGGGCTGGAAATTTCCCAGCGAGCTGTAGTTTTATGGGTTGTTTGATCTGATCACCCATTTGGGTGATGCAGTTTTGACCTGATGAAGCACTGCCTCAGGAGGCAAAGCATGTTACAGTTAGACACCTTCTGTCCTGTCTGTTTTCAGATGTTGAATTGAACTGTGGTAGGGTCTTCACTGTGGCAGTATTAGTAAAACCGCGCAGTTTTACTCTGTGGGATAGAATTGATTTTTTTTCTTTTTTAAAGAGCAGCAGTTCTGAGCTGCGAGGCTTCCAGGTAAAAAAAAGCCAAGTGGTGGTGGGAAGTGAGAGAGAACGCTGACTGAATAAGTTGTGCACATTGAATATAAAGTTCTGACTTGTGAGTCGTTACTTTTTGTGCTGGGATGAGCTGTTACCTCTGTGTGTGTGAATCCGTGGTAATTGATCTTTGCCTGCTTGGGGCTGGCTACTCAGAGGGCTTACATAGCTCTGAGGCACTCCTGATTTATGGTAGCTGGTGTTCTTTAATGCTCTGGAAGGAAAGGTAGATACCTGTGGAACGGCATCCATAACATCAGGCTTCTCTGACGCTGCTGTTCATTCCCTTTCCTTCAGCATGGCAGGAGGACTGAGGTACTCATTTTTGACATTAAGAGGAAGCAGCGAGCCTGCACAACCTGGGGATGAAGAGAATGCACTTCCTACCTCAAAGAGTTAGCCAAAGCGCCTGCCTTGAAGGGGACCCAAGATGCAAGTGTGTTTAGCATTGCTGAGAGCTTAAATTGTGATGGAACACATTTGGAACAAGGAAATCTACCTCGACTGTCACAGACCAGCACGAGATTCGTTGGCTCAGAAATACTCTTGCACACCGTGTTTTTTACATACAGACTAGTTTAATTTTAGGGTTTTTTTTTACACCACAAGCCGATTTATAGGAAGGAATGCTATGAGCAAACCTCAAGTTGTGAATTTCTGTGTTTAACTGTGTTTGGGTGCTGCTTGTACTCAGCAAGACCTGTGAGTTCTCTTTCAGTGTCTGCCAGCAGCCTCTTGAGGCAAAACTCGCTGTGAAGACCGTGAAGCCTGATTCACCATTGCCTTATGCCACGTGCAATCCTTACTGTCAGTGAAGAGATGAGAAATCCTGGTGGTTCAGGCTGTTTTCACCTCTGCATTTGCCTTTGTGTAGGTGATACAGAACATAAGGGGCACAGAGGATATGCTCCCCCAGATTGTTTCCTGTGTAAGTGTTGACTAAAAAAATTGGGGATATGTCCAAGTGTGTTCAGTATACATTGTGTAGGCATTCTGTTTCAATCTTTTCCTCATCCTCACGGTGTTCTGCTGCAACTGGCACTGTTGGTATAAGTGAATCCTCGTGACTTGGCAGCGGGATCAAGGAGAGTAGGAAAATGACAGAGGCTTTTTTAATATTTAAAGGTATTTTTGTGTGTGTGTGTGTGTGTGTGTGAGCCAGTACCAAAAAAAGGAAATCTGGTTTTGTTTACGTAAATTTTTCTTTTAAAATCACGATCACCTCCTCTGATATTTTGTCTATAACTGTCTTGCTGCAGAGATGTGATGATACTACGTACAAACATAGTAGGGAGGGGAAGCTGACTGGTGTACGGAAGACTAAATTGTGTTTAAATGAGAAGAAAGGCTCAGTGTCTTGTTGTGTCCTATATATATAGTGAAAGCTTGTCTGGTACTAGTTTATGTTTTAAATTCTGAGTAAGGAATCACTGTAAGCCTGGAGATTGCTAGAGTAGGCACAGCCCGCACTGTGGTGGTCTGAGTTATCATCTGGGACAGTGGCACTGCTCTGTATCTGTATCTCCTTCTTGGAAAATATGGTTGATAATGCTTACTGGTGTCTCTGAGGATAAAGTGTTAGCCTTTGAAAACACCATACAAGCATTGCAGCACTGGAAGACAGCTGAGGAATTAATCTTGTTGATGCTCTCAATTCCCTGCAAGCACAAACTGAGGTTTTTGAAAATAATCAGATCAAAAGAAGATTTTGGAAGACTCTGACGTGGCACCAGCATGGTCTAATGACTTGTTTGATTCCCCCTCTGAATTAAAGCAGAGCTAAATTTGAAAATCATCACTCTGTGTGCAGCACAAGAATGACCAGTCTGGATTAGACTGGGGAAACGTGGGTAGCTCACACCAGAATCTTCAGGGAATGACTGTGCTTCCCACTGCCTGTGTGGATTTGAATGGCAGGTGGAGCAGTGACTGCAGATACTAGAAGTAGAATTTAAGGGCACAGTTAAAGTGAAAAGAGAAATCTGAGCTGTCCCTTTTCTCACAGCTGGCCAGGAGATGTGACTTGCATTTTCTATCTGTTGAAGATCCGGGGAGGGAAAGGTTTGCTGCAAATGTTTTAGAGTTTTTAAAGATTTCCTTTGTCTTTAAAAAGCCTTCAATATTTTTGAGTGTATTCTTTTATAGGACTCCTCTTTTTCCAGATCATCTCTACCTCCACAATCCAAATTATTGAACCTCAACTCTCTGCAGTGAGACAAGGCATTGGAAGGTTTTCATTAATTATGAAATGATTATGAGTGCCATTTGATTGCAATACTGATGAACACACAGTGGCACCTGCTAAACAAGATGTAGTTCCCACCAAGGAACAACCTCCTGTGTGCATTGAATTAATTACTATTTTGCTGTACCTTTTATAAATAAAAAGATGAGGATTACAGTTTTAACAAGGTCTTGGATTTGTGGTTTTTTTTCCTGCACATGTGCTCTCAAGCACATGCACAGCACAAATATTTGCTTTCTCTGTGACCAACTGCTGTAGCATACTCGAAGTAGTCTCATTAGTTCATTCTGTACACCAGTGTGGAAATGACTTTATTTAATTCATTGTTCATGTAATATTTTTGAGGTGCTTCAGAATTAGACCTCTCACCTAAAATGATAGTATTACTCAGAATCATTTTAAAAAAAAATTTAGGTATAACAGCAAGTAGGTACTACCTACAAGGACTAGCAAGTGCTTGCATACTTTCACAAAGCAACTCAGCTTCAGTCACTTACTATTTTCCTCTGCATCTGTAATGTAAAATATTGTAAATTTGCTGGTTAAAACTCTGGGAATGTGGTCTCAACCAGGCACAATATTGTGTTAGAACTTAGACAATTACAGAAAAGGCTATTTCATTCAGAATCTCAGAAACTATGTCTTTCAGCTAATAAGATAGGAACTTAAAACTGATTTTTGTTAGACACAGCTGTTGATAGTCCTTACCTTTCCTACAGATTTCATATTAATGAAGTTAAGGTTTTAAAAATTACACTGGTACCGTTACAGGAGTCAAGGTGTATTTACAAGGGAATATGCGAAGAGAAATGGTAACTGGACTAGAAAGGAACTGTACATTGGTCTGTTCATACTCTAAATTCTAAGGGGATTTCTTAGCAGTGGCCTAGCTGTAGTGGAGTGAGATTAAGAGGCAAAAAAGTGTGGTCACCCAAAGAACTTTCTATCCAGGCACTCTGTAAAGCTCTTGCAGTGATTCCTGTGAAAGTCAGAGAGGCAATGCCTCAGACCAAAACCTTCGACTGGGCTCAGTAAACAATTCTTACCATTCTTAAGAATTTATTATTTTTCCTCTCAGTACCTTGGCCTAGTTTACTCCTACTAGGCCCCTGAAGTTCCATAGACCTGTCTGAGACTCATTATCAACCTCAGGAAAACGAAAATGATGATAACAGGGAAGAGTGGAAGAGAAAACTGGCAGGTATGAAAGTCTATGTTTTGAGTCCATCATTAAACTGAAGGGATTTTTTAAATTATTATTATTATTACTATTTTTTAATTTAGAGGAAGTATTCAGCATTATTTTTGCATGTGGAAAACGGTGAACCTTGCTCATATTTAAAGTATTCCTTCAATGGTGAGTGATTCTTTGGGTAATTTGTGATTGTTTTCTTAATTTGTGATTTTTTTTTTTTAAATTTGACTGGCCTTACTTATGGGGTAAAACAAAAGTGGAAAAATTAAGACAGCTTTAGTGTGAGGAAACTGGGTTGTTGTTAAGATGGTAATGATATTTTTATCTCCTAGTTAGAGGTAGCGTCACCTTTGTGATTTGGACATGATCTTTACTTGTAAAGCATCTTCATATTGTTGTTTTTTGTCTGAAGGTGTCAGTAACACAACATGATAAATTTTTTGTTCTGGTTTCAGCATGAGCTTGCCCTGGAAACGTCTGGGCTGCAGGTTAACTCCTCACTGGAAGAAGTGGTGTTGATCCGTGTTATCCCCGAGGTTTGGAGTATTATTTTTGAGGGTTTAGGTTTAGACCCATCTTTGATCTCTATGAATGTTAAACAATTACAGTAAAAATAAGACTGCAGAGTCTTTCGTTTTAATAGCGCTGCCTATATCCTTAGTTTCCTGGTATGTGAAGCAAACAGTTTATATCTAGCATATGTTCTCTGCTTTTCAAAAAGTGACTTTTCTTTGTTCCCAGTGATGATGCTCCAATGTGTTTTTTCCTGAAGTGGTGTCCCATCCTTAATGACCTATCATTAATGAGCTAAATGTGCTCTAGTCTAAAATCTTCAAAGGCTGCAACTTGGCAGTGCTTTTTTAAAGATAATATGCATTCTCATAAAATAACAGAAAAGTTTAATTAACACCCTCTTCTTCCCACTGATCATTGATGTTTCTCTTAAGCTTGCTAGATGATCAGTGCAAAAGAAGAATGAACAGGTTCTGCAGTTTCTGAGTCCCTTTGGCTACAGATGTCGCTGAATGTGGCTTCTTGTTAAGAAATGACCTGAACAGCACACTTGTGCTTCATTCCTTTCTCCTGATTAGACACTTGATGTGACTGGATTAAATATGCTTTTAATTAGCACATCTCACCGTGGATTAAAAAGAAATTAAATCCATACCTGTGCAGAAGACCTTCCTGAATACCAGATGCTTCTGAAGCAGTGCATGAGCCTCATTTTTATTGAAGTGAGGCAAGGACCTCTCTTCTGTGCATGACATGAGGAGCAGCATGTGGAACCTTCTTAGTAAAATCTTTGTTTCCACTGAAGGTTGGGAGACTTCTTTCCTTTACTGGACCTTTATGCCCTGTTTTTATCAACAAAGTCTTCTGGGCCCAGTAAAATTCACAAGTCTTGGATAATTTTATGTATCATGTGGCACATGAGATTCTGAGAATCATGAAAATTAAAGCTGGTAAATAAATAGGTTTGGCAAAGTATATCTCTGTGAGGTAAGACAGAATACTTACTCTTCAGTTTATTTTAACAAAATGGCCATTGCTATCTCTGCAAGTTAGTAAAATTATTCTAAAATTCACAGCTACTGTGACAAACATGGTGCTAATCCTTCTCCCCTGTATGAGCAGAGTAGTATTAATGAAATTCTGAAAGGAAACTCATGCTGCGTTTCAGAGAAAAGTCATTCAGGCCTCAATGGTCTTGTCAAACCAGGGAACTAGAATGAATAATCCCTGAATGTCTGTACAGAGTAGAAAATCTCCTAAATTGTCTTTTTTTCCTCCCAGTTTCATAGTTAATCTGCTTTTTCACCTTCAGTAGGCTGACCCAGCATTAACACACAAAATGTGATTCTCTAGCTTTTACACTTGCAGATACATTTTCAAAGTTATGTGTGAAGCAGCCAGTAAGGGAGAAGCCTCTATAAGCTACTATAAACTACAAGCTATGAAAATTATAAGGAATGGTTTAATTGAGAATCAGTAGCTCTAGGAGGCTGCAGGAGGAAGGGGATATCTGTGCTGTCCCTGTAGCTGTGCAGAGTCACTGCAGCAGCACCTTCCTGTGCTCCTGTGCTGTTCAGCACTGTCTGGTTCCAGCCTTGCTGTTACTCGTAGTGACTGACTGGTAGATTTTTTATTTGGTGTCTTCATTCTAAACCATCTCCCCTTCTAGAAGCTAAACAGCAAAGAAACTTGAGTTGCAAATGAGTTGCTGTCTGCAGAGCTGGGGGGACTGGGTAACCTCAGTTAGCAACCTGTGATATGCAGGAGTTCAGATGTGACGCCTTCTGCTCACAGGTTATAAAACGTTATCTCACAGGAAAGGAAAATGAGTTGGCTTTTCACTTACGGGATTTTTGCACTGGTCTCTTCAAGTGTGTACATTGTTTAAACACCTACCTCGTGATTTCCACTACTGGGAGTGGCAATGCAGTAAGTTCTTTTGAAGGAATATGAGATGTAGGAAGCACAAGACAAATATTAGAGCTTAACATTTGGCATAGTTGTGACAAAAATCACAAGCTCTCCCATGGGAGGGAAGGGGAAATGCTGCCTCCTGTCTACTCACTGAGTTGCTGTAGTGGTGAGCAAAAGGGACAGATCTGATGGGTACGTACACCCAGGGGGAACTGGATGGGATTGATGCAAGGAGAAGAATCATCAGAAAAACACTGATTTAACACCATGCCTCTGGGTGTAGTCCCCTGTACGTGCAGCTTGCTGAAATAATTTTGTGTGTGAGCACCTGGTGATATTTTATCCTTGTGAAGCGTGCAAGAACCTGTGAATGTCTAGGTCAGAGCCTCTGTTGTTGTTCTGCTTCCTTTGTGCTGTATGGGTTATGCAGGAGTAAATCCCATTTAAAAGGCCAGCTATACCATGTGAATGGCTGCCTTATACCATGAGAAAGGGTAAAACAACTACTTTCCTTTTTTTTTTTTTTTAAACTTCTCTGGAGCTGGCTGGGGTTTGTGGACAATTTGTTCATTATTTTTGGCATTTGTGGGATGACTGAGAGCCATCTTTATCCGTGCTGAGAGGTACCGTCCTCCCCAGGTGGTGCCTTTGATTGAAGCTGTGCTCAGCTACTGCTCTGTGGGGCAGATCCCAGGCTCACACCACATGAGCTCATACTTGGCACATCTTGCTGCCTGAGGTCGGAGCACACACTTGTGAGTGGCTCGTGGATAAATAAATCTGACCCTGCTGTTTTAGTATCTGTGTGCCTTCAGAGTTCCTGGCTCAGCACTGCTGTCTTGCTGCTCTGATGTCAGGGTACAAAATTCTCTGATGTCCTTCTGGTTGTAGGTTCCTCTGGTGTTATGTGCTGATGTGAAGGCAGGTCTTGTTTGATGGGCAGAGCCTTCTGTTCTTCTAGAGCTTGGGTTCTGACACCAGGTGGTGAATTTCTGACATCCTGAGCCCAGGCAGCCTGAATATCCAGGCTTCCCTGAAGGCTCTACCTGTGTTCAAGTAGACCAGGGTGATTTGGAAGGACTGGTCTTCCTGAGGATAACGACCCCGACCTTTTAACTGACTGATGTGGGGTCAGAGTACTGGGATTTGGGCTCTATTTTGCTATCCTTATTTGAAAAACCAGGTTTCTGTTACCCTTGGTCCATGAGGTTTTGGGTTGGTGGGGTTTAAACTCAGCTGCTAGGATGTCACATTTCTGCTGAAGTGTTAGCAGCGTTTCAGGTGCTGATGTAGCCTTGTTTGTTCTGTTTTTCTGATAGAACAGCTGCAGATGTGCTTTGGCATCTGCTCTGACATAGCACCTCAAACACACTGGGTTTATGGGTTTATGGATTCATGGTTTAGCCTCTGCACACTTCTCACTGATGTCAGGACATAAACAGGATGTTGGTGGCTCCCATGGTCACTGTTCTTGTTATTGTTGATAGTTCATCACTGAGAAGTCAGGCTGGCACTTGTATTTAATCCATGTTTTAGCAGAACATTTTTAGAGAGGCATTGCATTAATTTGTTAATATAACAGTTACTCAGCTCTTAAACCCATGTGTTTTTGTTTTTGTTTTTTTTTCCTGAAACTTTGTGTAGTATTACCAGCAGCATAATAGAAGTAATAAATATATAATCTGAGTTTTCCTGGTCCAGTTGTAAAAATATTCCATTTTCTCCACTTCATCTTGAACTTATTCCTGAAAATGCTGCTATTCTACTTGCATTGTACAGATGCAGAGCTAGGAGAAAGACTGCAAAATCCTCGTGTCCTGTCATCACAGCCCTGGTGTGCTAGACCAAAAAAGGGCTGAAAGATTTGGATCATAGCTTTGAATGAGTGAGTCCTTCAATCAGAGACCCTGCAGGTCTGAACACCAGGTAGGGAAAAGACAAAGGGTGAAACACTGAGACCTTGTGAGCACAGCCCTGGAGAAGAGAGAAGGTAGAAAATTATGGAAGGCAGCTACAGATTCCATAAGGGGAATTTGAAGTATTACATCTACTGGTCCGTGTAGAATATAATGAGTTTGTCAGGGTAAATGTAGCAATTGCATCCATGATTTGAATATAAAACATGTATCTTGCTTTTCATGAAGCTTTATTGTTTAAAAAATTCGACTCAGACTGAGCTGCAAAAACGTGCTAGAAAGTGCAGAATGGCCTAATACTCATTTAATTTGGGTTAAACTTTTTAACCACGCATTTGTGAGGTTCCAGAGTGCTGTTCCTGCTTGAAGTGTCTTCATTATTATCCCCATTTCTAAATGCTGACCTGTCATCATTGGTTAGGGCTGGACTCGGTAACAGTGATCTTACATTTTGGCAGACTGAGCATTTCAGTCCTTTGCCACTGGGAGTCAGGGTTTCCTAACAGAAGCAGCTTCACATTACAGAGTGCTGGGGAGCCAGTGCTGTGTATGGGTATATATAATATAATTCTGTGTATGACATGGCTGATATTTGGGTCTGAAGGTGCAAAAATTGGAACAGTCCCTGCCCAAACACCCACAAATGACAGAAGGGGGCAAGTGAACACAGAAACAGAGGCCACGTCTCAGACTGGAAATGTCCTCAGTCAGACTCTTTGTAGGCAAGTCTGCAGAGGGAAATCTGCCAGCATGTAGACAATTAGAATTCTCTTCCTGAGAACTTCAAGTGGGGTGCTTAAAACAGACTTTTGAAACTCCCAACACATCCGAGTCTGTGCAGGTGTCTTTGGAGCACTGATCAGCTCTGTCAGAGGGTTTCCAAAAGCACAGGACTGTGAGCATGGCTGAAAATGCAAGTGGTTGTGGCCGATGCATTTAATGGGCAGTTGTTCCCTGGTGCTGCTGATGGAGCACATTTTTGAGCGAAGGTCCTTATTTCCTTCACATTCTCTGCATTGTTTCAGGAGAGCCCAACAGGACAAACTGTTCCCTCACAGAGGTTTAAGGAGGAAGTGTTGCAGGGTGTCAGCTGTGGAAATGAATGGATCTCCAGTGTGTCCTTCCCCAGTGAGTTTCTTCTTCCAAGCAAATCTGCTACTTTCAGATGACATTAGTTTTATGTTTTGTGATGA